TGGGTGAAGGAGAAGCCATTGAGCTCATTGAGCGCTCATTCGCAACTTTTTCATCATCGAAAGCAAACCAGTTTGAATTTGTGAAGAGAGAACTGCTACAAAGACACCATTGTTAATATATTACGCACAAGTTAAGGTATTAATTTCTACCAGAAAAGAAAAGGCGAATCCATTACCTCTCCTCATCATCTCCAAGGCGTAAGGAAGATATAACTACTTCTGCAGATTCATCATCAAAGTAGACATCCTGCAACATAGACTTCATAAGAGGTTTTCATACAAATGATATCTACTCACAAAAGGTCTTAAGTTATAAGTTAGGTTTAGCATCATGTAACCAAGCTTTTCGAGAGTCAAGTTTCAATTCCTAGACATGAGGAAAAGACTAATAATACCTCATCATCGCGTTCCATAGAGCCTTGAGCCTGCAGTGAATCAAACAAAAATGTAAACAGCAGAACAAATGTTCATAACAATTCATGGAAAAAATGCGCCAAAATTCAAGAGCTCTGAAAGCATATAGTTTCTCTTGGTAAATCGACTGTTTCGAAGCTACATCCAGACTAGTTAAAGATCAAAAAGGAAGAAAAGATGGTAGGAACCCGCATGCTAACTATCTACCAAGTCTTCGTATTTGGAGGATAAACAAAACTTTTAAAGAGTCTTGCATCAGATTTCACTATGCGTCATTATTCAGGAAATATATGATCAATTCCTAGAATATTCCTGAATTGATTTCCTCGTTTTTCTCAGGAGTTGACATTCGAGACCTTCCAAAACTTACTGACATATGCGGCTAAAATCTATGATAAAAAAGGATCACTTGTAACAGCTATGACAAGAAACTAGAGAACATCACCTCATCCATGTCATCATTGCTGTAAATTCCATACCGAAAAGCCTGGCTCAGGTTATTTGCTAGTGCCGCCACATCATAGTCTCTATCGTGGTAATCATCATCATCACTATCTCGATTACGATCATGGAGTGAAGTTGGCCTCCTGTTAAGAAAAGAATCAGTAAAGGAATTATCTATATCATAAACCAACAATCACTGCTGCCTCTCATGCAAC